TACATGATGTAACACATATAAGTCAAGCTTTAAACAAAACCTTTTTGTCATTTTGAGCTAGATGGTAATGGACTAATCCAATTCAATGATTTATGCTAAGCTAAAGGTGCTCCTGCCAAACCTAGAGATCAGCTGAATGTATTAAAAAATGGTAAAATTCAACTGTTTAACTCTTGAAGAGTCTATTTACAAAAACAAGTGGTGTTCCTTTCTGATTAATTTGCTTTAGTTTCCTTCATGGCTAACTAGTTGTGTTTTTGTAAGGATTGAGGAAGTAACCTTGGCTAATATTTCTGGATTTGAATCTGAAAATTGAATTTAGATTCCAGTTTAACTTAAACACACATTGCCATCAAATCCCACAGAGCAAAATGTATTTGGCCCAGCTCTGGCCCACACAATCAGGTTTTGTCAGAGCTGGGCCAGAGAAATTTTGCTATGTAGAATATGATGGCAATGTGTGTGAATTAAACTGGATGCTAAATTCAGTTGTCCAAAGTTGAAGAGAAAGAAATCAAGTTTACAGACTTTACAGAAATATTGGACTTCCTCAATCCTTACAATAGAGACAACTAGTTAGCCATGAAGGAGACTAAAGTAAATGAATCTAAAAGTAACACCTTTTTTTATTTTTTTGTAAATAGACTCCCCAAAAGTCAGACAGTTGGAACTAATGTTATGTTCTCTGATTAGTGGAAAGGTTTGTAAAATTATCAATAAAAATGTGTACCCCATGAAGAAAATGCATCCCAGGTAACAAAGAATTCTGGCCCAGATTTGGCATAAAGCTGGCACAGCAGGGAGCAGGCATTCATTCGGCAACGGCATACAGCATGTGGGCCAAACATGGCCCGGGTTTGGCAGAGATGCCATCTTCTTTAAGGTGGCACACAACATTTGGGCCAGATGTAAAATATAGTATTTTGCCCAGGTGTTATAAACTGATATGTGGACCTTGTAAGTTTGGCCTGTCTTGACCCAAATTTAAAATGCATTAAAATACATTTTGAGTAAAGATAATAGTTCTACCAATCAGGTTGCTTTGAGAAAAAGCACACCCACAGTGTGCAATCTTGACACACCAACCTATCTGGCCCAGTTCAGGCCCAGTTATAAGTTATTATAACTTATAACTTATTATAAGGTCCATGTTTGGCCCTTGTCTTGAAGCCAGACTTGGTCCAGTCATGTATCGTAATTCACTGCGGCATGTGGGCCAATCAAAACCTGACTGTGTGGGCCAGAGCTGGGCCAGAGATGCTATAGACATTTTTGCTCTGTGGTATTTGAAGGTAATGTGTGTTTGAATTAAACTGGATGTTAAATTCAGTTTTCCAAAGTTGACTAGCAAGAAATCGAGTTTACCAGCATGATCTCATGAGGATGTGTAAGTATTTTACATTTCGTCAGTTTGGCTAATCGTACGAAAATGTAAGATTTTAAAAAGGAGGCGTGGCACCCACCCCTAACCCCAACCATCATTGGGTGATGAGCAAATCAAAAAGTTACGTATTGCCATGAGATTGCGTTGAGGTTACAGACTCTACAGAAATATTGGCCGAGGTTACTTCCTCAATCCTTAACTAAATCCTTAATCAAAACTAGTTAGCCATGAAGGAGGCTAAAGTAAATGAATCTGAAAGGAAAACAACTTTTTTTTTTTTTTTTGTAAATAGACTCCCAAAAAGTCAAACACTTGAGTTTTACCATTTTGAATCCATTCAGCTGATCTCTAGGTTTGGTGGGAGCATCTTTAGGTTAGCTTAGCATAAATCATTGAATTGGATTAGACCATAAGCATCTAGCCCAAAATGACAAAAAAGTTTTGCTTAAAGCTTGACTTATCTGTGTTACATCATGTACTAAGACTGACAACAAATGAAAAGTTGCTATTTTATAGGCTGATATGACTAGGAACAATACTCTCATTCTGATTTATGCTAAGCTACGCTAAAACTGCTCCTGCCAGATTGAGAGTTCGGCTGATTGGATTCAAGAGTGATCAAACTAAAACTATTTAACACTACGGGAGTTATTAAATGAGCCAATTTAAAAAAAGATAGTACCTTTCCCTGCTGAAAAATCCAGCATAAACCAGCCTAGGCTGTTTGGCTGGTTTTAGCTGGTCGACCAGGCTGGTTTTAGAGGGGTTTTGGCTATTTCCAGGCTGGTTTCCAGCCATTTCCAGCCTGGTCTTAGCTGGTCAGGCTGGAAAGTGACCAGCTAAATCCAGCTAAAACCAGCTTGACCAGCCTGGTTTAAGCTGGACATTTTTTGGCTGGGCTCCCAGCCAGGCTAGGCTGGTCAAGCTGGTTTTAGCTGGTCATCTCCCAGCCTGACCAGCTAAGACCAGGCTGGAAACCAGCCTGGAAATGGCCAAAACCCCTCTAAAACCAGCCTGGTCGACCAGCTAAAACAGCCAACCAGCCTAGGCTGGTTTAAGCTGGATTTTTCAGTAGGGTTAATAAGTGCTTGAATTGCTTGATGTCATTTTAGTAGAACTGGTATTAAAGGGGGGAGGGGCATTGTCAGTTTAGAGAGCATATAATTGGACAAAAATCTAGATAGTGCAGGATGGTTCATCAAAAGTTTTTCCACAAGGTTATGGATGTAAATCGTGTTTTCAGGTCTCCAAACTGACACTGCAGTAGAAAACAAATTGCCTAAAAGCATAAAAGGTGTTCAGTTTTTGAAATCGTCATCATGAACAATACATTCTTTGAAGAGGTACAAAAACAACATTAGAAAAAAAGAAATCTCATAATCATTTGTTTATCAGGACATCTTTATGAAATGGAGAAAAAAAGTACAATGTTACTGTAAATGCTGTAAACATTCAAATCCATAGAAGAAAAGTACAATGCTAAACAGATGAGCAATGAATATAAACAGAGCGACAGACAGCGAAACAGTCCGTTTGCTGCCCGGTCTTTACATGTCATCAACTACACAGGCACTTCAAGGCCTCGGATGGTAACAAACAAAGAGAGAAACATCGCACGCACAAAGAAAATGATTACCTCCCTCTTTGCTATCTATCAGAGCGACCCTCGGCGTGCTAACCGCTATACTCTACCCGCTCATTGTCTGCCGCTGCGGCAAAAAAAACAAAACAGAAATGTAAACTTTCAAAGAAGGAATGGAAGGTTAAATCATGTGAAATTCTTCCAATGTTTCGTAATATTTGGAATGCTTCTTCACACCATCAAACTCGACCCTTCAGAGAAATGGCTCTCTTCACGTAACAGCTAAATCGCATGTTAAAAAAAGTCATATATTTCAAACAAAACACAAACACATAAACCCTGTTCACACATTCACACCTTCTTGAAGACACACGTGAGAGGAAATCACACGTAACACACACCTGGGTTAAAGAGTGTGCTTATTGCATTTTTTTTTTCACCCGGCAACTGGCTCAAACATTACCGGAAATCTCCATCTTGTTAAAAACTATGATCAACAGCATGTACACTCACCGGCCACTTTATTAGGTACAACTGCTCGTTAACGCAAATTTCTAATCAGCCAATCACATGGCAGCAACTCAATGCATTCAGGCATATAGACATGGTCAAGATGATTTGCCGCAGTTCAAACTGAGCATCAGAATGGGGAAGAAAGATGGTTTAAGTGACTTTGAACGTGGCATGGTTGTTGGCGCCAGACGGACTGGTCTGAGTATTTCAGAAACTGCTGATCTACTGGGAAAATGCCTTGTTGATGCCAGAGTTCAGAGAAGAATGGCCAGACTGGTTTAAGCTAGTAGTAAGGCAACAGCAACTCAAATAAGCACCCGTTACAACTGAGGTATGCAGAAGAGCATCTCTGAACGCACAACACGTCCAACCTTGAAGCAGATGGGCTACAGCAGCAGAAGACCATACCGGTTGAAACTCCTGTCAGCTAAGAACAGGAAACCGAGGCCCCTATTCGCACAGGTACACCAGAATTGGACAATAGAAGATTGGAAAATCGTTGCTTGGTTTGATGAGTCTCCATTTCTGCTGCAACATTCGGATAGTCTAGTCAGAATTTGCCATCAACAACATGAAAGCATGGATCCATCCTGCCTTGAATCAACGGTTCAGGCTGGCATTGGGGGTGTAATGGTGTGGGGGATATTTTCTTTGCTCACTTTGGGCCCATTAGTAATAATTGAGCATCGTGTCAAGGCCACAGCCGACCTATGTATTGTTACTCATCAAGTCCATCCCTTTATGACCACAGTGTACACATCTTCTGATGGCTACTTCCAGCAGGATAACACGCCATGTCATAAAGCGCGAATCATCTCAGACTGGTTTCTTGAACATGACAATGAGTTCACTGTACTCGGATGGCCTACACAGTCACCAGATCTCAATCCAATAGAGCACCTTTGAGATGTGGTGGAACGGAAGATTCGCATCATGGATGTGCAAATCTGTAGCAACTGTGTGATGCTATCAAGGCAATATGGACCAAAATCTCTGAGGAATATTTCCAGTAGCTTGTTGAATCTATGCCATGAAGGATTAAGGCAGTTCTGAAGGCAAAAGGGAGTCCAACCACAGTACTAGTAAGGTGTACCTAATAAAGTGGCCAGTGAGTGTATATTGTAGCACGCTTCATTTTTGGTGTTTAGCAGAACTGTGGATGGCTGAAATGTCAATCATTTTAGCTGAAAGCTCAAAACTTGGCTATCGTCTGAATGAGAAACATTGTTATCTGAATGAAATTCAGCACCCTGGCATCTTCATTATTTCAGCATCAACAGGCATATTTTATCAGTGACATCCTGTAACACAAGGACATTTTATATCATGGCTTGCATAATTCAACAACGGATTGCAGTGCGTTATTCGTTTCAGTTGCGATCATAACACAAGGGCCACTTTTCCGTCGTGTTCCTGAGGTAATTCTCGTATCCAATTTGGTCGGTCGCTACATTTGATACAGTTCGAAATCACACACGAATCTGTCAAAGAGTTTTACATTCAACTTTGTCATGTAATAAATACACTTGGGGAAGGAAAAAGTAATAAAAACAGGATTTAAAGGTGTGGTTTATGTCCTGGAGGTGGAGCTTTTGGGTAGCCATGGGTTTTGATTGGTTGTGCAGGAATACAGTACTGCCTTAAACAGCAGTGGGAGCTGCTCCAAGGGAATAGACATCATTTTACCTGCAACCAATAAATACACAAACAGTATGAATGTCAGAAAGCACATTCACTAAACTTACAGACTGTTATAGTGAAATACATGAACAACAAGGTATTTGCTGCTTTGAATATATACAATTTTAGCTGGAGTTTACTGAATTTAATTGCATGAAAATAAGCAGGATGAACAATCATTTATGTGTCATACAGGCTTGCATTGTTTGGACTTTGTTATTTGATGAGAGGGTAATATTGTGAAGTAGTAATATGATTTCAAATAGCTGTTTTCAATTTGAGAATATTTTAAGATTTAATTTATTCCTATGATGCAATTGTGTTCAGGGTCACATAATCCTTCAGAAATCATTTTAATATGATGATGTTTGGCTTAAGAAACTTTTCTTATCATTAGCATTGTTAAAAACAGTTGTGCTGCTTCACATATTTATGGAAACTGTAAAGTTTTTTTTTTAAATAAATGAATAATTCACTTTTGAAATAATTATACAGTTGAATGTCTGAATTATTAGCCCTCCTGATTTATTAGCCCCCTGTATATTTATTACCCGAATTTCTGTTTAACGGAGAGAAGATTGTTTCAACACATTTCTAAACATAATAGTTTTAATAATTTCAATCTAATAACTGATTTATTTTATCTTTGCCATGATGACAGTTAATAATATTGTACTAGATATTTTTCAACATACTAGTATTCAGCTTAAAGTGACATTTAAGGGTTAAACTAGGTTAATTAGGCAAGTCATTGTATAATGATGGTTTGCTCTGTAGGCAGCTGAAAAATAAAAATGACTAAAGGGTCTAATAATACACTGTAGTGCTTCACTTGGATTAAATGGATTCAAAATGGATTAAATGAATTCATTTTCTCAAAATTTTACATACAATACCAATGACAATATGAAAGAAAGATTTTTTGAATTCACATGTACAGAAGTATTCACAGCCTTTGCTCAATACTTTGTTGATGCACCTTTGGCAGCAATTACAGCCTCAAGTCTTTTTGAATATGATGCCACAAGCTTGGCACACCTGTCTTTGGGAATGTTTGCCCATTCCTCTTTGCAGTACCTCTCAAGCTGGTTGGATGGGAAGCGACGATTTATAGTCATTTTCAGATCTCTCCAGAGAGGTTCAAAAGGATTTAGATCTGGGCTCTGGCTGGGCCACTCGAGGATATTCACTGAGTTGTTGTGAAGCCATTCCATTGATATTTTGGCAGTGTGCTTTGGGTCACTGTCCAGCTGGAAGATGAACCGTCGCCCCAGTCTGAGGTCAAGAACACTCTGAAGCAGGTTTTCATTCAGGATGTCTCGGTACATTGCTGCATTCATCTTTCCCTCTATCCTGACTAGTCTTCCAGTTCCTGCTGTAAAACATCCCCACAGCTTGATGCTGTCACCACCATGCTTCACTGTAGGGATGGTATTAGCCTGGTGATGAGCGGTGCCTGGTTTGCTCCAAAAGTAACATCTGGCATTCACTACAAAGAGTTCAATTTTAGTCTCATCAGACCAGAAGATTTTGTTTTTTATGGTCTGAGAGTCCTTCAGATGCCTTTTAGTGTATTCCAGGTGGGGAGTGGCTTCTACCATACAGGCCTGATTGGTGGATCGCTGCACAGATGGTTGTCCTTCTGTATGATTCTCCTCTCTCCACAGAATAAAGCTGGAGCTCTGACAGAGTGACCATCGGGTTATTGATCATCTCCCTGGCTAAGGCTCTTCTCCCCCGATCACTCAGCTTAGATGGCCGGCCAGCTCTAGGAACAGTCCTGGGGCCTCATGTACGAAGACTTGCGTGGAAATCTTACTAAAACATTGCGTACGCACAAAGCTGTAAATGTGCGTACGCAGAAAAAAATTCAGATGTATGAAACACTGCGTACGCCGAATCTCACGCATATTCTTTTGTACATCTGAATGAACGTGAAACTGAGCGCAACATGCACGAGCACAAAACCCCTCCCTGCCTCCTCCCCCGTATGAATATGCTAATGACTATGCTAATGTCAAAACCCAACGAAAAAGCAATGGCAAGAGCAAGCAAAAAGAGAAACTTTGAACAGAATGTGAATTGGAGGTGCTGCTTTCGGAGGTAGACCGGAGAAAAGCGGTGTTATTTGCAAGTTTGTTCTCCGGAATTAACAACAAAAGAAAAAAATAGAGTGGGAGAGTTTAGCTGATGCGGTTAACACAGTTGGGTCTGAACATCGCACTGAGTGCATTAACGCATGCGATCATGAATTGGTACGTCCGAGCATAAACTCGGCTCGAATCCAGCGTCTGATGAACTCTTTCTTCTTTTTTCCCCCGCTACATATCAGATTTTGCCCACTATTTATCACGAGAAAGACAAGTAGGAATCATCAATAAGTTTGTGCATCATACTTTATTTGCACATTTATTGAATGGAAATGTTTCTGATTCCCGCATGCAAATTCATCTTCAGATAGTGTCTTTATAGCAATGTGCGTGCGGTAGATCGCTCAGATTACATTGGGAAAACAGGCGACCGCTGCAAATTGTGCTTTAATGTTTAGCTGGTCAAATGTATGGTATGGAAACCTTGTATACCTGCTGAACCCGTCTCATACAGCTGCCATTGCAAGGCTCAGACACTTTGTAGAGAGGAATTTAACACAACTGCCTCTAGGAGTCGCCAATGGAAATAAAACAGACACGCACAAAAAATGTGCGTACGCCTGCCAGAAAGCTGCCGTGAACCTGCGCACATTCCCAGCAAAGGCTGTCAATACTGATGTACATGTGATTTTACAGGTTTTTAAATTTTAATAAATTTGCAACAATTTCAAAAAAATATTTTTGACATTGCCATTATGGGGTATTGTGTGTAGAATTTTGAGGAAATAAACGAATTGAATTAATTTTGGAATAAGGCTGTAACATAAACAAAATGTGAAAAAAGTGAAGCGCTATGAATACTCTCCGGATGCACTGTATGAATGAATAGAAATTGAAGGTAACTTTTTGTCATTTTAATAATAATAATAATAATGCATTTTATTTAAAGCGCCTTTCAAGAAACCCAAGGTCACTGTATACATGTACACAATTCAATCATTTAAAATTGTACAACATATACACAGTTCAACCATTTAAAAGTAAGCCAACAGTATAAAAATAGAGATGATAAAATACAAGGCCATGATACAGAATGTAGTATGAAGCTATAAAAAGTAAGTTATTTTGAACAGATGAGTTTTAAGTCGGCATTTAAACAGAGGGAGAGAGTCCATGTTGCAGATGTCAGGAGGAAGAGACTTTTAAGAATCCTTGCTTAATAAAAATATTAGTGTTTACATTGTTATTGAAATAGAGAATAACTCGGTGTGCCTTTTTTTGCTTTTTAACTTTGAAGATAATTTTTCACTCACTCAAACAGCAACATTACACACTAAAGGAATTCTATCTAAAAGAGAAAAACAACAGCAATGGTGTATGTACACACAGACTTTTAATTTCAGCCAGTCAGCCCACGCACTTCCAATGTACTTTTTTCCATTATAAAATTGCCACGTTTAAGGTCTGATTTAAAAAAAAAAAAATCAGTGATCTTCTCTGTCTGATAGATATACAATATGAAGTGAGTCACAGACCGGACAAGCATTAAATTAAATTAAATTTCCCCCAAAATGTCTTTAAAATATGAGTTTATTTTTACCCCGTTTTGCGCTAGCAGTGTCTTTCATCACATTTTACACTAAAATACCTAAATTAATGCTTTTAAGTCTATTTAACTGAATGTGTTGTAATTACATTACAACATCGGTGCTGTAAAAGAAACCTTCTAAAATTGAAAACAGTCACATTAAGCTTTTACCTGAAGTTCATCATTGGCTGAAAAACACTAGCTGTGCATATAGCCCATTGACTTACATGTCTGTCCAAACTCACACAGATACACACCTGACGTGTGGCGTATCTCAGTAAGGCAGGTGATGATGTCAGAGAAGCGTTTGGGTCGCTGTGGATGAAGTCGTTCTGTCAGCTCACGACACAGCGTCCAGTAACGTTCACTTAATTGTTTCAGCATTGACGTGTTGCACAAACCTGTCGTCTCTGCAAAACACAAACTCAAATTACACACACCTGTTGTCAAAAACAAAAGGATCAGGGTTAGTGTGTGTGTGTGTTATTACCTTGATTAAGCAGCGTGATGGTCTTTAAGCAGCTGTACTCCTCATTGCTGATGTTTAGTTGATGAAACTTACGGAAGAGAAAATTTAAGCTTTCCATGACCTCCATAGCATCCTCACCAAACCTGCAGTCATGTATAAATATCATATTTAATAACTCTATATAGCATATCAGATGTTAAAATAAAAAACATTTTGGACAGATCATATTTCCCAGTGGTCAGAATGAAGTAAAAACAGACCAATTTCGAGTACAGTATAAATTACTTATATGAACTAAATGTAAACTGTAAGTTTTTTTATTATTAATTATTGTTTTTTTTGTTAAATAAAAAGCTATTAAAACTGTTGTTAAAACGTTTTTAAGCCCCAAAATACAGTTGTCATGTATATAAATAGCCAAAACGCCTAAAATGTATATATATTTCTAACATTATTATTTTTATACCATTATTATTGTAAGCAGATTTCAAACAACGTTATCTTAATTTCAAGAGTTCACACTTATAATTAATTAATAATAATAGCAGGTTTGGCATGCTGTCCAGGGAGAGAAACCTGAGCTCAGATTTAATTGAGTCCCAAGGCTCCTGCCTTGTCAATCAGCATGTGGGGGGAACAAGAAGTTCTCGAGAGCTCCCTCTGATAATGGAAGGAGGAGATGGGGTGGATGGGGGCATTCTTCAAAAACCGAATATGAGGGAGTAATGCTAGTCGAGCTACATACTGTATAGTGAGTTTGGAATGATCTGATTGGCTTACTAATGGTTACAGATGAGAGACTAGCCGCGATCAATCAATTTAGAGATCTGCGCGGGACTAAATTTTGAATCCCGCTCCCGCCCGCACCCGCCAGGTTTTAGCCGGAACCCGACCGCTCCCGCTTATATTAAGCACTTGATGTCCCGCTGCCCGACCCGCCCCGTTTTCTATCCGCCGCGCCCGATCCCGCTTAAGAGCGGGGGGAGAACAAAACCGAAAATCACCCAGTTATACAGTCCAGACAGCCTATAACAAGCTGTCTGTATAAACACACACATGCACAGCACCAAGCACACACACACAGACAAAGCTTTCTCTCTCGTTCGCGCGCCCTCTAACACACACTCATAAGCACCAAGCACAAACACAGGCAAAGCTCTATCTCTCATTCGCGCGCACGCGCACACACACACACACACACACACACACACACACACACACACACACACACACACACACACACACACACACATCTCTCATTCGCGCGTGCGCATACATACGCACACACACTGCAACAAACAAGCTAAACACAGCATAGCGCTATTTTATTTACACACATACATACGGGTGCTCACTCGGGAGTCGGGAGCGATATTGCTAGACAGCCCGCTCCCGTCCCAAATTAAACCCGTTACCGACCGCTCCCGTGATTTATTCGGAAATTTATACCCGCGCCGTAGAAATCTGGTCGGGTCAGCCGCGGGAATGCAGACCTCTAAATCAAATCTCGTGCTCCGCTTGAAATTATTCTGTGGTCACACTGAATTTTTCTCCCCATAGACTTCCATTTATACGCAGGCGGATGCGTCAGAGGCAGGTTTGTGCGTCAAGTTTCGCAGTTCACAGAGTTGCAAAGTTCAAGCTTAATGAACTCTGACCTGCAAAATCGCATCACTTGACTGCGTGAGACCATTCGAGGATCAATGATCTCTCTGGACAGAATTTTGAACATGAACTAATCGCTCGCTTATTGTAATGTCTAATCATCTTGTTTGATCCGGCCCCTTTTCGTAGTGCCGTACAACATAATAGTGTGACTGTGGCATCAGTTTGTGAATCTTCACTTATTCTGCACATAATCAATTTTTACTCTCCGACTGGTAGTAAACTTGACAAATAAATTAATATAATAAACATATTTTAATATAATAAATTTAATATAAATAAACAGTGATTTCTTGTCAAACATAGCCTATTGCAATTAACAACATTTTCAATAATATAATTACAATATAAATACAATTTCTAATCACCCCTAAAATGTTTTTGCAATTAAATAATAAATAAATAACAAATAAATAATAGTGCATAAAATGTGCTCTGAAAAAAAATCATATTATTTATAATATCACCAAACTCACCCTTATTATCATATAATCACCCAACTTACAGTAGAATGATATACACAGAATGATATTTCATTATATACACTTTAAAATATTTATTGAAATAAACACTGAAGTTATATTATCCAAGAAATTAGCTATCCTAATCCACTTAAAAAAATAAATAAATAATAAAATGTGTGAACTTGCCATTTTTTTAAAATATTTAGTAAAATTTCCTAGTATTTATTTAACAAGAATTGTAAGAGCAACAATTAACTTGACTTCTAGTTGATCATTTGGAAAAGTAGCAGATGATCGATTTTTCTGATAAATCATCTGTTGAACTGCATCCCAATCATCACAAATACTGCAGAAGACCTACTGGAACCCGCATGGACCCAAGATTCTCACAGAAATCAGTCAAGTTTGGTGAAGGAAAAATCATGGTTTGGAGTTTCATTCAATATGGGGATCTGCGAGAGATCTGCAGAGTCGATGGCAACATCAACATCTTTATATTCTTTACTGTACATTATTCATGTTAAGTGACAAGACTTCTGTCTCAGCAAAGTCAGACCTTACTGTCCTAATTAATTAATTAAAAATCAAGGCATGTTATTTTATTTTGGTAAAATAAGCGTAATCTAAAACCCTTTGCCTTTCATATTAGCCATTTCTGATGCCAAACAATTAACCAGAAGTCAAATTACTTATTATTACAATATTTGTTGTTCCTAAAACTTGGATAGGCGACAAGACTTTTGTCAGGCAGTATAAATGCACAACTAATAGTGTTGTGTTTCTCACCAATGCAGTGTATATGTGTGTGTGTGTGTGTGGACGGAGTGTAGTGTTGAGTCTCACCGTTGCAGTGTGTGTGAGGAGGGTGTGTAGTGGTGTGTGACGTTCGCCAGTTCCCCCAGTATCTGTGCGCTGTGCACTGTGATGGAGGACAGCAGGATGAGCTGATGCCATGAAGAGCCCAGCAGACGAGTGCAGTCTTTAATGGAGAGATCAGTGAAGAACGGCAGACGCTTGAGCCACACGATCTGTCTAAACAGCAGCTCGTCTGCGATACCACACAGCAGCGCCAGCAGCTCCGACTGAGTCACGCTGTACCTGAAACACACACACACACACACTGCATTATTAAAGCACAGAAATAAAACAAATACACAAAGGTTAAATGACACAGCAGAGTCACGCTGTACCTGAAACACACACACACACACACACACACACACACACACACACACACACACACACACACACACACACACACACACACACACACACACACACACACACACACACACACACACACACACACACACACACACAGCATTATTAAAGCACAGAAATAAGACAAAAACACAAAGGTTAAATGACACAGCAGAGTCACGCTGTACCTGAAACACACACAACTGCACAATTCAAATCAAATACAACACAAAGACACAGTTCATACACCCCCAACCTGACTTCACCAAGTAGCACATGTTCCTGGAGTAACACCTACAATATGTTGATCCTGGAACAACATTCCAGTCAGCCAATCAGAATTAAAGTATATGTTTATGTTAAGTTTAGGCTTACGGTTAGGTATATGCACTTCTACATGATTGTTACCCAACTATTATTCCCTTTTGATTTTGTTTTAGGGGTAGGGATTAGGTATGGATTACATTATTGAACACAAATGATGTTCCAGGATCAACATAGATGTTAATCCAGGATCGCATCATACTTGGCAAAATCATGACGTGTGTTCATACACAATTTTACTATTAAATTCCAGGACTTTCCCGTAAATATTCATGACCTAACATTTCATTTAATGTCTACGTACATGGGGTAAATAAAAAAAAAAAATGCATGTTAAAATTAATTAAAGCATATTAAAAATATATATAACGATCTATGTAGTTTGTTTATTTTTATATCTGTAAAATTGTTTTTAGAAAGTATCTTGCTTACAAAGTATTACACAGACTTCACTAGTCTAAAAAAAGTTATTTATTAATTAAGCAATTCTTTGCTAAGGTTTATGATTGTGTTTTACTCCCTGACCCAATGATAGCAATTTTTGGTTGGTTAGATTTTCTGGAGCCTTTCAGTACTTGTTCAGTAAGCTATGATTTAAGTTAGTTATCGTTTGTTTCTGGAAGAAAAATATTAGGCCTCTTTTTTTCTTGGATTTATATTTAAAAGAATTAGATATGCCACCTCTGGGAACAAAATTTGATTATATGTGGGATCTAGGAGTGTGACGCGATGCTTACTTCACTACTTCACGAGATGAGACACGAGATTGGGTTCACGAGAACAAGACGAGATTTTTACGCCATTTTTAAGAAATTGTGTTTTATTCAACTGAAAAACAAAACTAAATTGCAAAACTATTTAGGTGCTTTTTAAATTAATCTTGTAATGAAGGTTATTTTACTTCTATTTTAATGAATTCTATGGATTAAAGAGCATGCAAAACTGCTAAATAATTTGCTAATAGCCTAATGTAAATGGAAAACAGTTTTTTATAATTTTAAATACTAGCAAAATATTTGCTAATATATTAATAGAAAACTTTTATTCAACTGCAAAACAAAAATCACAAATTACAAAACAATTTAGGTGTTTAATGAAATGCAATGAAAGATATTTAATTTGTATTTTAATTAATTCTATGCCATTAAAGATACGCAAACACTATATTTAGCGAAAATAATCTACTGACTAGTTTCAATTTCATTTTAATTTAATAAATCAGTTTCACTTCCATTCAGCAAGATTTCCCTGTGACTCACTCTAAGCTACTGGATGCGATCATGTGAATATGAAGAAAGGACTGATAGGAGAGAGTTGTTTTCATGTAATTTGATAGCCCCAGCCCCAACTCAATATTCCATTTCAGTTGAAAATACAACAACATTTTATATGCTGTTGTTTTAAGTTAGTAAAGAAATCTATTTCAAATAAATCTTGTTTAAAGTGCTGAGAGGCATTTAAAAGTGCCTGAAAAATATTATGATTTTTACAAAAACTGTTTAAAATAATCATTTATGATAATAATAAATGTTAAAAACAGCATATGAGACTGATTTGTGATGGATCATGTGACACTGAAGATGGGAGTAAGTTCAGCTTTGACAAAATAAAATCAATGACAAAACATACACCCATCCTGGCTCAGTGGTTGGCACTGTCGCCTCAGCAAGACGGTCGCTGGTTCGAGTCCAAGCTGGGTCAGTTGGCGTTTCTGTGTGGAGTTTGCATGTTCTCCCCATGTTTGCGTGGGTTTCCTCCGGGTGCTCCGGTTTCCCCCAAAGTCCAAAGATATGCGTTGTAGGTGAACTGAATAAACCAAAATGGGCCGTAGTGTATGTGTGTGGATGAGTGGGTTTGGGTGTTTCCCAGTACTGGGTTGCAGCTAGAATTGCATCTGCTGAGTAAAAAACATATGCTGGAATAGTTGGCAGTTCATTCCGTTGTGGCAACCCCTGATATATAAAGAGAGTAAGCCGAAGGAAAATGAATGAATAAATTAATGAAAACATACACAACATGACAACATGAATCAAGTTAACTTTCAGTTTTTACAAACGTAAGTGGATTAAACATAAAACAATTAAGTTGTCCCCAAAAAAAAAAAAACTTAGGAATTGAATAAGTAATTTGAACAAGCGTCATTTTTTGACTCTATATACAACACAGGTGTTAAAGCCAATTCCTGGAGGGCCGCAGCTCTGCACAGTTTACTTTCAACCCTAAATAAACACAACTGATCAAACTAATTGAGTCCTTCAGCCTTGTTTGAAACCTACAGGTAAGTGTGTTGAAGCAGGGTTGGATCTAATCTGTGCAGAGCTGTGGCCCTCCAGGAACTGGCTTTGCCACCTGTCATATACAGCATTTAGCTCAAGATCTTTTGATTTTTCATAGTATGCCATGCTATCTCTGAATAAAGCTAGATTCATTTATATATACACCATCTATATAGTAGTCAACATTTGAAGTGGGCTAAAACCTTTCATCAAAGTCCTACAAATATACAACAATATCCAGCATTCTTGTCTTAGGACAATAAAAAAACATTTGGATCCACTTCAGATGTTGACTACTAATTAGAACTGGTGAAACCTGATTACTAACACACAATTTTTTTTTTACTTCCCCAAGAGTGTAAATCTCCACTATTTTGCTTTGTAATCTATTATTGTTACCACCTATAGATATGCATGTATGTTCAAACGCATTAGTGTTTGATTATATATATATATATATATATATATTTGTTTGTGTGTATCTTACCCGTCCTCAATGAGCATGGGTGTAGTGAGAGGTGTGAGGTCTTCATCAGCGAGGATCTGCCCTGTCAGTGTGTGTGTTTGCGTCTTCAGGATGCTGCCAGTAGGAGGCGGTAAAGGATATTTACACATCAGGAAAGTGTGTGTTAGTTGAGGACTGATGCACTCATCTCTACAGGACACAGAGCGGCTGCACACAACACAAAATAATAAAAGCAGAAAAAAAAATTATAGATCATAACACACATATATATGCAGAAGCAAACATTAAAAGTGTCATATGATCAATCGAAGTCTTCATGAAAATAGATTTACAACTGTTATTTTTAATGTTGATACACTATTGTGATTTATTTACTGTTTTAAATGATTAATTTCCAATTTATCTTAAATTTTATGCTTTTAATTAAAAACTGTATCAAATTTAAAATTTTAAAAATGTTGTGAATTTTTGATAAAAAAAAAAAAAAAAAAATATATATATATATATATATATATGTGTGTGTGTGTGTGTGTGTGTGTGTGTGTGTGTGTACAGTACTTTTGCATTTTATATCATTAATTCATTCATTTTCTTTTCGGCCTAGTCCCTTTATTCATCAGGGGTCGCCACGGCGGAATGAACTGCCAACTTTTCCAGCATATGCTTTACACAGCGGATGCCCTTCCAGCTGCAACCCAGTACTGGGTAACATCCATGCACTCTCATTCACACACATACACTACGGTGGGGAAACCTACGCCAACACAGGGAGAACATGCAAACTCAACACAGAAATGCCAACTGGCCAAGCAGGGACTTGAAAAAGGTGCCTTCGTATTGTGAGGTAACAGTACTTACCACTGAGTCACCATTTTGCCACATTTTATTTTATAGTATCTTTTGGAATTTATTGTAAAATAATATAGTTTTCCTTTTTAGTTATGTTTACTTTAATATTTTCTTGTTTTAAGCATAAACTTGCTTTTAAGAAACCATTTTTAATATTGTAATCATTTTGCACCTCAAGTTAGAGTATTTTAATTGAACAATGCTTAGATTTTTATAATGTAAAAGAAACAATTTTTAAAAAAACTACAGTGTTTAATTTTTGGTTATTTTGATTGATTGATTGATTGATTCATTCATTCATCCATTCATTTTCCTTCAGCTTAGTTCCTTTACTTATCAGGGTTCACCACAGTGGAATGAACCACCAACTTTTCCAGCCGCAACCCAGTACTGGCATAATGCATAAAGTCACCCAAGTTTAGGTTTTATGATGTCAGCAGAAAAGTTAATTCAGAGATTGAACAAACATTAAAAAAAAAGGTGGATTACAAAACTTAAAATATACATTATTTATAGCAAAAAAAATTATAAAAAAGCATAATATTTTATAGGAAATAGTTCAATTTTTTACTTTATTTTAATATACTAAAATAAATTAGGTATAATGAAAATGTGCATTTCAGGCTTACAAACTATCATAGTTTATTGGCTCTATTTGCAGATTTTGTTCAAATCTATTTATTTTTACTCTAATAATATAGTACTATAATCTATTGCACATCTCATCCTGCAAGTACATTTAAAAAGATATTGTTCATCCAGAATATAAATTGACATTGAAAAACACAAAAGAAGATATTTTGAAAAATGTTAGTTGATGGTACCCATTGACCATAAAATTATATAGTTAATTGGCTTATTTTCTTCTAGTTTTAAGCAAAAACTCAATTTTTTATTTATTTCTGCTTTAATAATCTCATCCTACAAGCACATTTAAAGAGATAATTGAGCCCAAAATAAAAAGTTTTAATAGAATAACACAAAAGAAGATATTTTGAAAAAGTTTGATGGTCTCCATTGACTTCCATAAAATATTATTGTTCATTGGCTCTATTTCCAGATTTTGGTCTTGTTTTAAACAAAACAAGATAGTTAGACTAACAAAACTGACAAAAATGTTAGTTGATGGTACCCATTCACTTTCATTGTAATTTTTTTTTCTTAAATGGAAGTCAGTAGGTACCATCAACTAACATTTCTGTCAATTTTGTTAGTATTGCTCATCCAAAATATAAATTGACATTTAAAAACATAAAAGAAGATATTTTGAAAAATGTTAGTTAATGGTACCCATTGACTTCCATAAAATACTATAGTTAATTGGCTCATTTTGTTCTAGTTATAAGCAAAAACTATATTTTTTTTCTCCAGAAGACTCACTATTTATTTTTGCTTTAATAATCCCATCCTACAAGCACATTTAAAGAGATATTTGAGCCCAAAATAAAAAGTTTTAATAGAATAACGCAAAAGATTTTGATGGTCTCCAAAATTGACTTCCATTAATATTATTGTTAAGTGGCTCTATTTGCAGATTTTGCTTTTGCTTTAAACAAAACAAGATAGTTGGACTAACAAAATTGACATAAATGTTAGTTGATGGTACCCATTCACTTTCATTGTCATTTTTTATGGAAGGCAATAGGTACCATCAACTAACATTTCTGTCAATTTTGTTAGTTTTGCTCATCCAAAATATAAATTGACATTGAAAAACATAAAAGAAGATATTTTGAAAAATGTTAGTTGATGGTACCCATTCACTTCCATTGTCATTTTTTTGTTAGTCCAACTATCTAGTTTTGTTTAAAACAAGAACAAAATCTGCAAATAAAGCCAATAAACTACAACATTTCATGGAAGTCAATGGTTACCATCAACATTTTTCAAAATATCTTCTAATAAAGTGTGAACTATCCTTTTGAATGTACTTTAAATGTTCAACAGAAGAAAGAAACTCAAACAGGTTTTGAACAAGTGAAGGGTGAGTAAATAATGAGATATTTTCATATTTGAGTGAACTATCCCTTTAAATCAAGCGGGTCACTGCGCCCGTGTCTGAACCTCTCCATCGGGTCACACCTGCTGGAGAAAGATAAGCTCTGGCCGCCCTCAGAGAGACTGTTGCCGGGTGAACTGTGGTTACTGTAACCGTGGCTCCACGAATCCGACAGGTCCGATCCTTCTTTAAACTCCTGGCCAGACATAATTCGTTCAATCTCCTCCAGCGAGATCTGCAGAATTGGAGAGAAGATGAATGTCTGTAAGACCGGAGCGCATTCAAAACGATTGTGAATAGCTGACATTATTGACGAGAAAGCGCCCAGCTTTTTAATTCAGCGAAAAATCAATAGCGAATGATGGAAGCTCATCCTATTGCCTGTCTTGTGTCCAACCCTCGATTGTCATCTGAAAAGCAAGTGCGTGTGTTTTGTAACAGAGCGAGATGTAAACTAATGAGTGAACTCGTAAGCGAGAGTCAACAGCAATGCTAGCAAACACTTCAGGTAACAAGGACACACACACACACTGTGCATCTCATTCACGTCCGCTATACTGTATTTATATGCTGTGTACATACTCGTGAGGAAAAATGAGATGGAAAGAGAAGGAGAGGGTTTGTGTTTGCATCGAAAACAATTGATCTCCTGCATGCGTGGCCTTCAGAGTCTCTTTCAGAGGAAACAACACAAAGATGGGACGCGAGCAGTCGCACACACAGCAAGAAACACTTGAGCTTCAGTTCTGAGAGAATGTGATGAGATCGTCTACAGGAGAATGGACCATTAAATCAATGCAATCTTATATTTGTGCGCCTGTATTTGCATTGTATTGTGTGTGTGTGTGTGTGTGTGTGTGTGTGTGTGTGTGTGTGTATGTGTGTATATATATATATATATATATATATATATATATATATATATATATATATATATATATATATATATATAGGTACAGTTGCAGTCAGAATAAATCGCCCCCTGAATTTTTAGCCCCAGTTTTTTCCCTCCCCCCAACTCTGTTCATCAGAGAGCAGATTTTTTTAAACACATTTATAAACATAATAGTTTTGATACCTTTTCTTTAATAACTGATTTATTTTATATTTTCCATGATGACAATTCATAATATTTGACTAGATATTTTTCAAGACACTTCTATACAGCTTAAAGCGACATTTAAAGGCTTAACTAGTTTAATTAGGCAGGTTAGGGTAATTAGGCAGGCAAGTTATTGTATATCGATGGTTTGTTCTGTAGACTATCTGGAAAAAGCATAGCTTAAAGGAGATAATACTTTTGTCCTTAAAATGGTGTTTAAAAAATTAAAAACTACTTTTATTCTAGCCAAAATAAAACAAGACTTTCTCCAGACGAATAATAATAAAAAATATTATCAGACATACTGTGAACATTTCCTTGCTCTGTTAAACGTAATTTGGGAAATATTTAAAAAAGAAAAAGAATTCAAAGGGGGAGGGGGGTTGGGCTAATAATTCTGACTTCAACTGTATACACCATATTTAATTTCTAATAACAGATTTCTTTTCTCTTTGCCATGATGACAGTACATAATATTTTACTAGATATGTTTCAAGAGACTAGTATTCAGCTTAATTTGACATTTAAAGGTTTAATTAGGTAAATTAGATTTATAAAGATGGTTCGGTCCATAGATGATCAAAATATAGAGCTTAAAGGGGCTAACTTTGACCCTAGAATGTTTTTTAAAAAATAATAAAAAACTGCTTTTATTCTAGACTAAATAAAACACATAAGACTTTCTCCAGAAGAAAAAATATTATAGGAAATGCAGTGAAAAAAATTCTAGCTGTTAAACATGATTTCGGAAATATTTTTTAAAAATTCACAGGAGGGCGAATAATTTTGGCCATTGGTGATTTCAAAAATTATTTAATTTATTTAAATTAAAAAGATTGCTTTTATATTAACCAATGCAGAATATGTTTTACTTTTATAATGAGCTTCTTACAGTAAAAACGATCTCATCTATAACATGATGATGATACACTAGTCAAGCACTAGTCAAGTAGGACTGCATTGTCCTGTTGAGTCACTATATATATATATATATATATATATATATATATATATATATATATATATATATATATATATAAAAGATTCATTAACATTCATTTATTTTCACTGATTTATTTTCATTCATTTATTTTCACTGATTTATTTTCATTCATTTATTTTCACTCATTTATTTTCATTTATTAATTTTATTCATTTATTTTCATTTAATCGAATCCTTAATTTTCCATTTGCTATTTTGTAGCTCAGCAATAAAACAAACAAAAAAGGTTATGCTAAATTGGAAATGACAATCTCTGTTAAAAAGATTCATGCCAACCCTCTCCATCATTCTAACTCTCTTCTCAGACAGAATGGTGGGCCAAATTAAAGGTTACCAAGGGACAAATGTGGCCTGCGGGCTCTAGTATGGGCATCTCTGATGTATAGTAACCACACACAATATATAGCCTAATTCCTCTCTGAAAAATACAGCTTAAACCAACAGAGGTTGGTTGGCTGGTTTTAGCTGGTCGACCAGCCTGGTTTTAGAGGGGTTTTGGCCAATTCAGATTCAAATAAAACATTTATCCCAAAATTTAAAATAAACATTAGTCTTACATGTACAGGTCCAATCATTTTATTCCTTCCTCCTGGCATCCCGTCTTCTCTGATTGCTAAAGACAGAACAAACAATGAAGAAAAGATGCTTTACAAACAGCCTCTGAAGTATATTGACAGTGAAAATGTCACTAAATACCTAAATAAATCGGTATTACTTACAAAATAAGTGACCGAAAAAAATATTATAGCACAACTTAAAATCATTTACGTAAATGAACAGGACAATTAACATTGATTTTTACGTCTCTTTCATAACTCATTACTCTGTGAAGCTGCAAAAAATACATTAAACGTTATAACATTAGCATTTGAATAACAAAAATGACATTTAGAAATTAAAAGTAAACGTTGTCCATACATTGCGATTACTTTAAGTGAATAATTAGCTTTTAGCAAATAATTAGCTTTCAGCAAAATAGTCCAACGTCTCCCTCTGGCGGAAACTACAGGCATGTGCAATCAACACTACTTCTAAACTGTTAGTATAATGCATATATATTGTGCGTTTGAGGGAGTTTTGCCGTGAGAAACAGGCAGAAAGGGACAGCATGAAAAACATAAATCTGTTATCAGTATATATCTGCAGATTATATAAGCAGCGACTGGCAACCCAGTTCTACAATCTGATTCCAGCGCGTTTTTTCTTCAGGCATGTGATTTACACAGAAGATCAGATCTGGCTCTAATGCAGCAGCATCAAAGAGGACAAGTTAAGAGGTAAATGTGTGAAGTGTATAAATCTAGTGCATAAAAAGTTTTTGTTTTTATGAAAAAGACGTGCTGCATAATTGGGGTGAAATTGCAATGGTTGGCCTAAAAAAGCACAGGTAAGATAAGATTAAAGTAAACAAGGGCAAAGGAAAGACATCTTTATTTAGCTGACTAGCTTTAAAGATTTTAATTCATGTGTATCAAAAAATATAAAATTAAAAACAAAAACAAAGACTTTTTCTTTTGTTTGAATGATTAACAGTTTTTTTAAAATGAGATTAAAAAATGTTTTTTATATTCAGCTTTTGAAAATATTTGTATTTCTGATTGTTAACATTTCCATTTTACTTTAGGTAGATTATTTTATAAAATGTATTATTTAATAACCAAGTCATTTATTATTTTAAAATAGTTTTTATTTTAATTAATTCCATATTTAATTAAATATGATTTATTTTACTTACTTTAATAATGTAGTTACATTTAGCCTAATTTAGTAAATTAGCATTTTTACTTTCATTTAGAAAGCTTATTTGATATATTTCATTATTTAATAAATAATTTAATCTTTTTTTTTTAAACAATTAATTTTAATTAATTTAATATTTTATTAAATTGCTTTCAATCTAAATCAGGAATTTCATTCACTGTATTAAATATAACTTTCATTCATAAATTTTCTTTCCAGCTTAGTCTTTAATAATTTGGGGTCGCCATTGCGGAATGAACTGCCAACTTATCCAGCATATGTTTTACACAGTGGATGCCCTTCTAGCCAAAATATAGTACTGGAAAACACTCATACACTCTGGCATTCACACATACTCGTACACTACAGCCAATTTAGTTTACTCAATTCACCTATAGCGCATGTCTTTGGACTTGTGGGGGAAACCGGAGCACCCGGAGGAAACCCACGCCAACACAGGAGAACATGCAAACTAGGACTCGAACCAGTGACCTTCTTGCTGTGAAGCGACAGCGCTAATCACTTTACTTTAGAAAGTTTTTTTTACTAAATTCAGTATTTATTAAATAATTTATTTATTATTTTCAAGTAGTTTTTAATTTAGTTCATTCAAGATTTTAATGAAATATGATTTAATTTACTTATTTTAATAACTTAATTAATTACCATAATCCAATTGAGTAAATTAACATTTTCATTTCGACAGAATATTTCATTAATTCCCTTATTTAATCATTTATTAATTATTTTCAAACCTTTTTATTTTAACTGATTAAAAATTTAATTAACTATGATTTATTTTACTTGCATACTTTATTTTATTAATTTCATTATTTAATTAATAATAAAAAAATATATTCATTTTTAATTTGAATTCATTCAATATTAAATTGTATTAATTTTAAAATTTAATTTTTATTTTATAGATTTTTTTTGCTGTATTAAATACAAAACTTGTTAAAACTTTTATAAATAGTGTAATTACATTTAAACTATTAATTATTTTAAAACAATTCAGATTACAATATTTTATTTTACTTACTTTAGTAAATGTAATTACATTCCGCTACAATTAACTGAGTAAATTAACATTTTAATTTAGATTTAGAACAAATATTTTATTAATTGCATTATTTAATAAATATTTTATCAATTACTTTTTAATATAGTTTGTATTAAAATTCATCAAATATTTGATTAAATCTTATTTAGTTGAATAATGTAATCACATTTAGAACAATTTAGTAAATTAACTTTTCATTTGAATTTCGACAAATGATTGTATTAATTGAATTATTTAATAAATATTTATTTATTTTTCAATTTTACCTAATTCAATATGTAATAAAATTTCTTTCAATTTAAATCAGGATTTTCATTTGCAGCATTAAATATGATTTATGTAATAAAATAATGTAATTACATTAGCCTGTTAATTATTTTTAAATCATTCAGATTACTTTATTAATTAATTTTCTTTTCGGCCTAGTCCCTTTAATAATCAGGGGTCGTCACAGCAGAATGAACCACCAACCTATCTAGCAAATGTTTTGCGCAGCGAATGTTCTTCCATCTGCAACCCATCACTAGGAAACATCCATACACGCCCATTCACACTCATACACTTTGGAAAATTTAGCCTACAAAATTCACCTGTGCTACATGTCTTTGGACTTGGAAAATGTAATTACTTTAAAACTATTAATTATATTAAAACAATTGATATTATAATAATTTATTTCAGCTACTTTAGTAAATGAAATTTTAATTTAGACTAATTTTTTTTTTAATTAATTGCATTATTTAATAAATAATTTATTATTTTAATACAGTTTTTGTTTTAAAATGTATTCAATATTTACTTAAAATTATTCATTTTCATAATATAATTACATTTGGGCTAATTTAGTAAATTAACAGTTTCATTTTAATTTAGACAAATTATTTCATTAATCTGATTATTTAATCGTTATTTTAAAAACATTATTAAAATTCAATCAATATTTAAATAAATTTCTTTCCATTTAAATCAGGAATTTTTATTTGCTTTACTAAATATAAAGTATTAAATATGATTTATTTGACTTTTTATAACAATGTAATTAAATTAGACTAGTAATTATTTTAAAACAATTCATCTTATAACAATAAAATACTAATTTATTCATCAATTAATTTTCATGTTGTGTTTCATTCTCATAAGCAACCTTGATTTAAACTGATTTGTCAGTGCATTTCAATGTGTGTCCCCACAAGTATAGTAACACCAGAACATTGACCTTTTGGGGGACATTTATTTGGCCACCATGATGAAAATGCTCATAGATCACACCGAATGAAGTATATTGAATATGTAAAAATGCAGATTGTTTTCTGTGAGGGTCGGTTTAGGAGAGAAAATACAGTATGTACAATATAAATAGCATTACCTCTATAGGAAGTCCCCATAAAGACAGCTATACAAAGTGTGTGTGTCTCACCCTTGCGGTTCATGCCCATCTGTAGGCACTTCTGCAGCCGACAGTACTGGCAGCGGTTGCGCTGTTTGCGGGACATCTGGCAGTTCTTGTCTCTGTTGCAGCGATAGATGCGTTTGTTGCAGATACTGCGCTTGAAGAAGCCTTTACAGCCCTCGCAGGAAATAATACCATAGTGCAGGCCGGACGCTCGATCCCCACAGATCAGACACCAGCGCTCACCACCGTCATCTATAGAGAAACACACACACCTGCTGACTCTGTATATTTATCAATTTTCATGGACTAGGGATTATAAGGGAAGTATGCACTCTAAAAATGCTGGGTTGTTGTAACCCCTACATTGGGTCAAATGTAGCCAAACCAACCATTGGGCATATAAGAGCAATTAAAAACTTTATTAATGTTAGGTTTGTCCATATTTGATCCAAAGTTGGCTTATAACAATGCAGGATTTTAAGAGTGTAGTAAATTAGCTTCTTCAGCTTTCTATGAAAACAATGAAATGCGATGTATAGATAGCTGCACTCTAATAAATGCTGGGTTATTCATTCATTTTTCTTTAGCTTAGTCCCTTTATTCATCAGGGGTTGCCACAGCGGAATGAACCAACAACTATTCAAACATATGTTTTATGTAGCAGATGTACTTTCAATTGTAATCCAGTATTGGGAAACATTCATACACACTTGTTCACACACATACACTACGACCAATTTAACTTATTCAATTCATCTATAGCGCATGTCTTTGGACTGTGGGGGAAACCAGAGCACCCGGAGGAAACCCACACCAACATGGGGTGAACATGCAAACTCCACACAGAAACACCAACCAGCCCAGCTGGGACTCAAACCAGTGACCTTCTTGCTGTGAGGTATCAGTTCTAAGCACTGAGTAATGCTGAGTTATATGAACTCAAATTGAATAAAATATGCATGGACCAACACAAACATTGGGTTAAATTTGGTTCTAATCATTTAATTAAAGAGCCCATATTATACATGAAATAGGGTCATATCTTGGTTGTAAGGGTCTCCAACAACAGTCTAATTTGCATGCAAAGTCAAAAAACACTTTCATGGTCTTATAATCTGCATTTATTTTTACCTAATTATCCCAGCGACTCCTGTATGAATCGTCCAGTGATTCATTTGTTCCCAAACCCCTCCTTAGCGCGAAGCTAATCTGCGCTGATTGGACCGATGACAGTCTGTCACGATTGGTCGACTGCCTTCAGTCAGAGAATGAAATGCCCAATAGCTAATTAGCAATATAAAAGTAATCACAGTTCATACGCGCTCCATAGTGTAGGCGTGGATTTTAGCTGCCACGCACACACACAAACACACACACACCTCTGGACGACCGCACCCGCCAGGTTTTAGCCTGAACCCGACCGCTCCCGCTTATATTTAGAATTTCTTGTCCCGGTGCCCGAACCGCCCCGTTTTCTGCCCGCCGCGCCCGATCCCGCTAAAGAGCGGGGGAGAACATAACCGAAAATCACCCAGCAAAACAGTCCAGAGACAGCCAGACAGAGCTCTCTCTCTCTCTCTCTCATACGTGCGCACTAACACATACACACAAGCGCCAAGCAGACACACAGGCAGGCAAAGTTCTGTCTCATTCGCATAGCAATATCCACGATATTGCTAGACAGCCCGCTCCCGTCCCAAATTAAACCTGTTACCGACCGCTCCCGCGATTGATTTGGAAATTTATTCCCGCGCCACAGAAATCTGGCGCGGGGACAGCCGCGGGAATGCAGACCTCTACGTTACCACGGAGCTCCGTAAACAAACAGCACGCGTCGCGTTTTTAACGTGACTTTGCACGCGATAAGAGAATATATCCAGTTAACCTGATACAGTACACGCGGTTACAAGTAACAAATCACAACTAAATACATTTGCAAGCTAGAGTCAACGAGGCAACTTTAATCGCACGTACTTATACTTGAGAAATGGAGGAAGAAACTCATCCTGACGTCCATTAGTAAGTTAATCTTTACTGATCCTTACTTTAACAAACTCAGATGAAGGATTCTTTGTAGCCTGTAGTTTCCAGAAGTTTCCAACTGCTTGGTTATAATGCTGAGGTTTCATCTCTGGGTAGAGAATCGATAATGTCCATCTGCAGTGTGACTTCAATCGACCGGCATGTTTGTGTGCGTGTGTTTGTGAGTGTGTGTGTGTGTGTGTGTCTGGGTTTCTGCGTCAGAGGGCGGGGCCTCAGGTTTGAAATCTCCCGGGTTTGCGCGTGCACGTGAATAACTTGGTTTCGTTCGTACGTCATGGCGAAACACCTAATGAATCGGTATCAAGGCGACTCGTTTGAAGCACTATGAGTCGACTCTTTTATAGATGAATCAACAGTTTTAAACACTGTATTCTTACAGATTTAAGCCTTAGCTGGATACTTCACTTCACTTAGAGCTGTGTTACACACTACATGGAGGGGAATTTTCAAAAACCCATAATATGGGCTCTTTAAAAAAATTAACCCAGATAGTCTGCACTACACCCAAAATTGGGTTACAATAACCTGGCATTTTTTAGAGTGTATAAGTAAATGTGGAGGTATGAGGTTTTGCTCTTTATGGTGATCAGATCTGAATAAATGAATAAAACTAGATTAATAATATGAATTCAAAATGCTGGGTAATGATATTTTAATACATTATAATAATATGACATATAATAAAGTGCAAAAATGTAAAATTATATATATACAGTTGAAGTCAAAATTATCAGCCCCCCTTTCATTTTTTTATTTCTTTTTTGAATATTTCCCAAATTATGTTTAACTGAGCAAGGAAATTTTCACTGTATGTCTGATGATTTTTATTTTTTTCTGGAGAAAGTCTTATTTGTTTTAATTCGGCATGAATAAAAGCAGTTTTAAATTTCTTGAAACTAATTTAAAGGTCAATATTATTAGCCCCTTTAAGCTATTTTTTTCTCGATCGTCTACAGAACAAACCATCGTTATACAATAACTTGCCTTATTACCCTAACATGCAACCTAGCTAAGCCTTTAAATGTCTCTTTAAGCTGTATAGAAGTGTCTTGAAAATATCCAGTAAATTATTATTTATTGTCATCAAGGCAAAGATAAAAAAAAAATCAGTTATTAGAAATGAGTTATTAGAACTATTAGGTCTAGAAATGTGTTGAAAAAGTATTCTCTCAGCCGAACAAAAATTGGAGAAAAAATAAACAGAGGGGCTGATAATTCTGACTTCAACTGTGTGTGTGTGTGTGTGTGTGTGTGTGTGTGTGTGTGTGTGCGTGCTAGGGTTAGACCTTAAAATGTTTTTTTTTTTTTTTTTTTTTAATTAAAAATGCTTTTGTTCTAGCCACAATAAAATAAATAAGACTTTTATTATCACACACTGTGAAAATTTCCTTGCTCTGTTAAACATTGTTTGGGAAATATTTAAAAAAGAAAAAAGAAAATTACGGGGGGCTGATAATTCTGACTTCAACTGTATGTATATATATATATATATATATATATATATATATATATATATATATATATATATATATAAGGCAAATAGAATAAATAAAATATTTGTTAAATAAAAAAACATTCCACTCCTTATATTAAACTTACATCATGAACTTATGATAAAATAATAATTACAATGTTCCAATAATATAATATAATATAATATAATATAATATAATATAATATAATATAATATAATTTCCCAGTGGGTTGCAGCTGGAAGGGCATCTGCTGCATAAAACATGCTGGATAAGTTGGCGATTTATCCCGCTGTGGCGATCCTGGATTAATAAAGGGAATAAGCAGAAAAGAAAATGAATGTATAATAATATAATATAGGGCGACACAGTGGCGCAGTAATTAGCAGTCACTTCAGAGCAAGAAGGTCACTGGTTCGAGTACCAGCTGGGTCAGTTGGTGTTTCTATATGGAGTTTGCATGTTCTCCCAGTGTTCGTGTGGATTTCCTCCAGGTGTTCAGGTTTCCCCCACAGTCCAAAGACATGGTATAGGTGAATTGAATAAACTAAATTGTCCAAAGTGTATAAGTGTGAATGAGAGTGTATGGATGTTTCCCAGTACTATGTTGCAGCTGGAAGGGCATCCGCTGTGTAAAACATATGCTGGATAAGTTGGCGGTTCATTCCGCGGTGGTCACCCCAGATGAATAAAGGGACTAAGCCGAAGGAAAATGAATGAATGAATAAATAACATTACTTCAAAAAATAAGATCAGCAATTTGTGGAAAAAATACATTTTTAAATTCAAATAAAAATATAAAATAGCATTATTAATAAAAACAACAATGAAAAGCATCCAACAAAGTAAATTAGCAACTCTTTTTGCTAGCATTAGCAACAGGAAGATGAGAATGCCACATAAAGGTATCTCTGTGATGTCTGATAGTAGGTTAAGCAGAGTTTACAGAGCTCTTGAAAATCCTAAAGTAAAAGTAAAATAAAGTTCTACAAGATCTTATCTAAAGCTCAGCACAATAGGGAGCAGGATTACGCAATCATATTGACCGCAACACACACACACACACACACACACACACACACACACTTTAAAATCTTCTTCAGTCTCTCCATGTGTATGAAATGACTTACAGCATCATGCGGTGTGACCCAGATTTACTACAAACCAAAGATGGAAGCAAACCCAGAAAACAACATGATATTTGATACGATACACACTGCCTTTGGTATGATAGTATGATATTAATATGATATTGTGTATTTAAAGTGTATATACAGTATAGTATAATAATACAACATAATAGCCCCTTTCACACATACAGACCTTTCCGGCAAATTACCGGCAATTTTCAGGAAAGGTTGTATGTGTGAACAGGTCCTTTTTGAAAATACCGGTAAATTCGTTCTGGCTATTTTCCGGAAAGAGAAGTTGTAACATTACCGGTAATTTGCCGGAATGCTGCGCTGTGTGAACGCAGAAGGAAGATTTCCGGAATAAGCTCGTGCACGTCTAGAACGGGCTGACGTGAGACACCTGCTTTAGCCAATCAGAACAGACGCATTCACGTGCGCGCGGTTTATGAGAATAAAAGCCTTTGAATATTTTTTCCAGACACCTTTAGCTGCTAGATGTTAGTCAGATAATGTTTCTATGTTCCTTCTTAATGCTGTGTAAATAATTATCAATAAAAGGTTTATGATAATCCGTTGTTTGTTTACCTTCAAGCTTTGCGTGTGC